AGCTCCTCTCTGAGAGCTCATCTCTGCCCTCCTGCTCAGAGCAGGGCCAGTTTTGTGGGACAAGGTGTTGCCATGCCTGGTTCCACTGTCCCTCTGGGCCTGTTGCAGTACTGAGCCACTCTCACTTGTCTCTTTTTTTTTAGTTTTTGGCTGGCTGGAATTTCTGGGAGGATCTGCCTCTATCTTCTCTGTGGTCCCGCTTGATTAAACTGAAGAGGGGATTATATTCCCCTGCATCCAGCCAGGCCTTCCCTATGTTGAACAAGCCCTGCTCCCTCAGCCTCTCCACGTGCACCAACCCAGTGACCATCTCCTGGAATCCCAGCATGGTTTGGGTTGGAAGGGACCTTTAAAGCCCCTGTGGGAGTGAGATTTACTAGAGAAGCTGTGTGGTGTGACTCTTCTGGCTGCCACTTGGCCGTGGTTGTGTGAGGCACACAGGAACACGGAGCACATGCATCCTGTCACACAAGATTGCTCAGCTGCTCACCACAAACCAGCAGCTTCCTCCAGGTTTCCCAGAACAATCCCTGTGAGGAGCCCCAGTACACAAGCAAGTTGACTTTAAGAGTTGCCTTTGCCTTGATCCCTGCCAGTGATATCCTAAGTTAGACTCCTCTGAATTGCCTTTTGGAAGAGGCACTGGGGGGCCGGGAAGCTGAGCATCCTGATTCACAAAGCAGGATCGAGGTAGTGTGAACGTGCCCCAGGGAGCCGAGGAGCCGAAGCTTTGTGAAGGAGGATCAAGCCCACTTCCCCGGCATTGATGTGGTAATGGACTCCCGAGCTCGGAGTGTGGCTCTGGCAGTAACACACTGATCCCGGGAGCCGGGCCGCTGGCCTCTCAATGGAGCCCATTTTGTTCTTCTCCAGTTCATAAATGAGTGCAGCTGAGTGCCCAGCGCCTGTGAGCGAGAGAGCATCTCAGGTGATGAGAAAGCAGCGTGTTCTCCGGGTGTTCTCCGGCTGTTCTCAGGCTGTTTTCAGGAGGCTATAGAGATGGTCTGGAGCCAGGCTGGTAGAGTTGGGGTTGTCAAGCCCAAAGAAGAGAAGCTCCAGGGAGACCTTACTGTGAGCTGTTGAGACTTGAAGGGTTTTTATTGGAAAGAGGGAGTAGGACTTTACATGGGCAGATAGTGACAGGACAAGGGGAAATGGCCTTAAGCTGAAGGAGGGCAGGGTTAGATTAGGCATTAGGGAGAAATCCTTCCCTGGGAGGGTGGGCAGGCCCTGGCACAGGGTGCCCAGAGCAGCTGTGGCTGCCCCTGGATCCCTGGCAGTGCCCAAGGCCAGGTTGGACATTGGGGCTTGGAGCAACCTGGGACAGTGGGAGATATCCCTGCCATGGCAAGGGTGGTCCTGGATGGGCTTTAATGTCCCTTCCAACCCAAACCAGTCTGGGATTGTTGGATCTCTGTAGGCTCTCCAGAAGGCAAGATCCCCCTCCCCTTAGGGAACAGGCTGTGGCCCTGGTCTAAACTGGCTCTGAGTGTCCCAGCTCCACCCTTCAAGGAGTTCCTTTCAGTGACATCTGATGGTGACACTGCAGCATCTCCCCATGCAGCACAAATGATGGAAACTTTGTAACACAAAAAACCTCGAGAGCAAATACAGTAAAGTTGCAGTGACACTATCACAGGTCAGGGAATGTTAAAGCACAGGTGTCTGTACCTGCCACACCACAGGGAATTCATCAGTGCTGTCAGTGCCCTCCACTGCTGACAGGGGTTTGTCTTTTTCAAGTTTGGGTTTCTTTTCCCCCTTTTAAAATTGCTGACTCTAAAATATTCTCCTTGACATTTTCTCTACACTAGCGGGAGGGGGTTTTGTTGATTCTGGAAGCACTTGAAAACAGGGGAAATTGGCCAAGACATTCGAAAGTTAAATTAAAATCTGTCTCTGCAAATAGCCAGTGTCAGTGGTGTGAATAACGCCCCTCTTTGGGAAAAGATGCTGAGGCAAAGGGCAGAATTGGCTGGGGCTGAAATGTAGCTTAACACATACAGATAAAATTGATCTAGGGTTCGATAGGGTGATTTCCAAGGGAGGTGTTGGATATTTGGTTTCAAAGTTATTGGTACCAACGGAGAAATGGTTGATGGATTAAGGTCAGGACATTGCTGAGCTTGCCCTGTGTGGTTGGTGTGAGCTTTGTGAAGCCTTGGCAGTGAGAACAGGATTTACGGGTAGGAAATCTGCAGCCGTCACTGTGGAAAGCTTTAATCACGGGTTATTGTTGGTGTCAGGGGTTTCTGTGTGCTCATATGAATTAAAGAATATATGATATGTCTAGAATTCCAAGAGGGATGTAAACAAGCCTCATGCCCTCTAGAATCTTCTCCTGCTTGGAGATGTCACTGATGTTGATCAGAGCACCCGTGCCAGTTTCCTCTTGAGAAGTGTTCATTTACTGACAGCAAAGCACATGAAATGTGCTGGTGAATTTTGCCTGGTGAAACACTGCTCTCTGCATCTGTGCCCACATCTTCTGGGGCCAAAGTTTCCACATTCTTGCCTCTTGCAGAGCTGTTGCGGTGGAAGCCTTTCCCCTTTTAGAGCAACATTGGGTTTTTTTCTTTTTTTCAATAAAAAGACAAACAAAGCTATTTTCTGTTTCAGAATGCAAGATGGGATATCTCTGGAGAGATTAACCTTCTATACAGACTTGTTTTTTGTGAAAGAAGAAATCTGTTATCACTAAAATAATATAAAAAATATCTGCACCTCATTATTTCCAGAAATAAAGCTGCCACAATGAGATTTATTAAGAATTGACTCGAGGTGAACTGAAGAGAGCTCCATGACCAAAGAGTTTGTGTTCTAGAAAAAAGGCAGGGAGACAATAGGATGGACACAGGGGGAGCAAGAAAAAGGAATTGCTCTGTAATGTTAGTAAGAAAGTATGTTCTTTTTGGGAAGGACTCTGAGAAGTGGCTTGGCAGATGTGCAGGAGGGTTTAACTCAGCCCCTCTTCACGTGTTCAGAGCTTGGCTCAGTGAGCTCAGTCACAGAAGGTAGAGAGGGGAGAGAGGCACAAAGGTCAGGACTGGCATGGCCGGGAGAAATGTAGAGGGCAAGAAGCATGAGCAGGAGAACGTGTCCTGTCCTTTTCCTGCCCTGCCCCTTCCCTCGTGTACCTGAGCCCCTGGGGAGCTGCTGGACCCCTGTCCTGCTCCCCCCAGCTCCTGCTGTGCCCCCAGCGCCTTGGGAACAGCAGTAAAACTGTTCCTCACACATCCAGGAGAAGAGCTGTGGTTTGGCATTTGGCAGAGTCTCCGGGGTGCAGAGTGCTAGGCAGCAGTTTTTGTGAGCAGGCTGTTGCCACCTGGGGTGCCAGATCCCTCCGAGCTGTTCTGCGCCTCTGCCCCCTCCTGCACCTCTGGGCGGGGTCATTCTTTTCTCCTTGGCTTTCTGTTTCCATTACTTTTTACCTTGGGGCTATCAGCAGATTTGTTTCCTGATCTCTGCGCCTGCTTTGAAGACAAATTCTCACCTTTTAGTTACCGAAGGAATGTGAGGAATGAGGCCCCATGGCCGCAGCCTCCCACCCAGCTGGGAGCTGTTCTACACGCTGGGCAGAGGGAGCAAGGTGCTGCCCTCCCTGGGAATAGGCTCGGGCCCTTGAGCAGGGTGGATGGGCAGCACAGGGCAGATGGCAGCAGCATGGGCAGGGTGGGGATGGACTTCCAGGGCAAATCTTGCACTTCACTCCTCTGAAATTCTCGTTTGTAGTGCCAGTCCTAGAGCTGCAGGTCCTGGGCCACCATGTAGGGTTTCAGCTTGTTTTAGCGGCTTTCTTGACAATATTTACTTCAAGGGCAGATCCATGAGTAAGTCGGAGAGGAGAAATTGCTGCATGGCTGTGGGAGCTCCGGGGTGTTTGCAGCACATTTGGGCTGGCTGGGGAAAAGGAGGGGAGCTCCTACCCCATGGAACTGGTGTGACCCTCTGTGTTACCGTGTTTGTATTTTCTCTTACATCTGCACCTCTCAGAGGTGGACAAGGCAGAAGAGCTCTGGTGCATCTAGCTGTCACCCTGGGGACTGTCACTGCCCCTTTCAAGTGGCTGCTCACCCCTGCCAGGGTGGGCACTGTGTCATGCTCTGGGCAGAGCTGGGGTTTGGGTTTAAACCACAGGCAGGGGGAGTTTGTGCTGGTGGCCCCAGGCTCTGCAGTGGGCCAAGGCATTTCCTTCCTCCAGGGAGCAGCTGAGAGTGGGGGATGTCCTAGAGTGCCCTCCCTGTTTGCATGGTGAACACAGGGAGTGACACCGTGACACCTGAGAGTGCTTTTGTCCCAGAGCAAACATCCAGTTCTCACCTTCACAGGGGCTTTGAACAGACACAGAGGGAAGGACTCCTTTATGCAATCATTGTTCACCCCAGCTGGATGTGGGACTTACACAGCACATTTCATCCAGCTGAATTCCAGTGCAGGGTGACACCACTGCCAGCCTGGGCTCCACCCACAGCTGTGCATGGCGCTGGGGGGTCCCAGAGCACTGGGGGCAGGGGGCTGGAGGCTGGTGTCAGCCTTTTCCTGGCTCTGAACACCGCTCAGGAAAGCTTTGCTGATGTGCCCTCCCTGCCTCCTATGGCAATCCCAACAATCCGGCCAAATACTTCCAAGGATGGAGGAGACCCCACACCACCATCTGCCCTAGAGAGACAGGGAATGTCTATCCTGAGCCGTCCCAAGAAGATGCTCCAGGGTCTGGAGTCCCTCTGCTCTGGAGACAGACTGGGAGAGCTGGGGGTGCTCAGCATGGAGAAGACTCCAAGGAACCTTTCCGTAAATAAATAGGGCCAATAAAAAAGATGAGGGCAGAGTTTTTAGCAGGACCTGTTGCAACAGAACACCAGCTGATAGTTTTGAACTAAAGCAGGGGAGATTCCGACTAGATATGAGGAATAAGGTTTTTACAACGAGGGTGCCTCCTGGGAGGGGGAGAAACCCCCACAATGGAAGATGCACTGACAGTCTGCCTTCCCCCCTTGCAGAGCACAGTTGGGGAGAACCGCTGGCTCCAAGGCCAGCTGGTGCAGTCGCTGCTCCGTCACTGCGATGCGCACGGGGCAGCACGGTGGGCACTGCACTGCCAGGTACCCCCCGAGATGCTGCCTCAGGCCGTGGCTGAGGAGCTGCAGAAGCTGCACATCCAAGGCAGGTAAATCCCCTGTTTGGTGCCTTTTCCATGCAGATTGTTTGTCATACAAACACTGTCTATTTGCTTAAAATCGTTCTGCCATCATGCGTCCTTGGGGACAGAAGTTTGCAAAGTACAAAAGCCTGGAAATTTCTATGAAAGGGGCATTTTAAACTCATCCTAAGTACGCAGAAACTGTGAGATGGCTTCATGCTGCTGGGGGTTCTTACACCTCATCTGCCAGATCAACAGTGCAAATATTCCTCTATTTTACTGAGGTGATTGCAGATCTATCAAAGTTTTACTAATTATTATTTCTTTAATGCTGATAATTTTGGGAAGATCTCACAGATGGCCTTGAATAGTTCATGTTCAGGGATTCTGGTTTTGTGGATTTGCTCTTTCTCCTCGTACAGATCTGCACTTGTTCAAGCACTATGTCACTTCAGGAAATACAACACAGATGTAATCACCCTCAAAACACTTCTCCAGAAGGTCCATGGCTTTTTTTGGAGCACAGGAAATTCTTGTCTGTCTTGGGCATGCTGCTACTTCACTCCAAAGCACTGCTGGAGCTGCCCTCCTCGTCCTCCTCCTAAAGCTACAGCAGTCACCAGTTCGGAGCCAGGAGGTTTTTCCATGAGGGATAAGCCCACAAAACACAAAGATGTGATTACAGGTGTGTGGCTGAGCCACAGACTGTGCATCCAGAGATAAAACCCATCACTACGTCTCTGTGCTGTGGGAATCCTGTACTGTGGAGGGAGGGCAGGTGGGGGTATGCTCTGCCCTGCGTGAGGAGCTGGGACGGATGAATAAACCCCTTTGTACTGCAGTTTACTCATCCAGTCATGATGCCTGCTGTGGTAGCTGCTATAAAGTCAGCAGAGCCATGGAACCCCATAAAACAGTCTGGCTGCCCTGTCTATTCAGTAACACAGCCACAGGTTCCCAGAGGGAGTTCACACTGCACACAACAAGGTGGCACCAGCATATAAATGACATCATCTGTCTCTGGACACACCACACGGGGCTCCTGAGCTTTGCAGGAGAGAATATTCCTGGAGACCTGAGGCTGCACACCTTCATTAAATATTTTACACAAATATTGACTTCCCCATGCACACAAACTCACAAGGAAGAGTGTTTGTGCAGGGAGAGCTGCTCTGCTGCAAAATTGGGCACACAGCCTCCCAAACATAAGGTTACTAATAGTTTCCCAAATAATGAACCATTTCAAGTCTCTATGGGTGACTCTCCAGAAATGTGTGGTCTGTCCAAGGGAGCTGGATCTTTTTGATTAGTTCCTTTTCTCTGAGAAAGAGCTGAGTGTCATGGGGAAAGAGAGGGTCAGGGTGAAATAAGGGGAGTAAAACTTACCCCTCTTGCTCCAATCCAGGATTTCCTCCTGGCTTTGCTTGGCTTCAAACTGTTGCATCTGATTCTGTGCAGGGTAGAAGAGGTCACAAAACCAGACAATTATGAGGCCAGTAAGAAGAAGGACTATTACCAGCTTCCTATTTCACGGGAAAATATTCACTTTCTTCAGACATGGGAGGAGACACTGCAGTGCTGGGAGAAGGTGCTGCAGGTGAGTGTTACCTGGGATTGGCCTGGCAGGGTCAGGGAACTGGAACTCCATGTCAGGCTGAGACACAGAGCTGGATGTGGCCATTGCCATCCACCTCCCCAAGCCAAGAACAGCTGCTGCTTTAGGCTGCTCTGGTTTGGGGAATGCATCAGGAATTGTGCCAGGGAAGGTCCCCGTGGGCGAGGTCCCCGTGGGTGATGCACGTGCTGTGAGAGTTCTCTGTGCCTGTGGCAGTTTGCACAAAGAGCTGCAGGTGCTGAGAAGGAAATGCTCATGTTCTGGACAGACTCTCCAGGCTCCTCTCAAGCACAGGGAGGCTCTGGGTGCAGAAAGTGTCTGTGTTGCAGCCTGGGCAGGTCGTTGGTGTGGACATGGAGTGGAAGCCTTCCTTTGGCATGGTGGGGAAGCCCCGTGTCGCCCTCCTGCAACTTGCACTGAAGGATGAGGTGTTCCTGTTGGACCTACCACAGCTCCTCAAGCAAGCTGAGGCTGAGGGAGAGAAAGAGAAGCTTCCCCATTTCATCCAGATGCTCTATTCAGACACAACCATCACTAAACTAGGTAACGCCCATCTCTCCTCCCCACCTTGGGGTTTCACACAGCCTGTTTTGTCATCTTTGTCATTCTTAGGTCCTCTTCATATTGTCATTCCCTAAAGGCACTTGCCATAGAGCTAGCTTTTGTGGCCCTAAGTGTTCAGGCACTGCCAGGCCAGGAAGCAGGGAATGTGTAACTGGGAATGATAGAAATATGGAATTAGAGAACCACAGAATATCCTGAGCTGGAAGGGACTCACCAGGATCCCCCAGGGCAGCCCCTGTCCCTGCCCAG